ACAACAACCCAGGCTTTAGCTCTCAGCTGCCTGGGCCAAAGCGGCAGGCAGCGCAGCGGTGGCAGCCCTGGCCGAGGGGAGGGCGGCCAGGAACAAATTGGCTCCCCTAGCTGCCTGCTGCTGTCTCTCCTCAGATCAGAGGCTCTGGTGACAAACAAGGATTGAGGGTGGGGGCCGGGGGTGGGAGGGTGGGTGGGTGGAGGAATAGCAGAGACAAGAGAAAGAGGTAGTGAGCAATCCATGATAATCCCGGGCTGTGACCCCTGGCAGTTCCCACATTCTCAGGGTCACACCGGCTAACCTCAGAGGACGGCGGACCAAGGCTTGCTGCTGCTTCTCCCCCAGGGCCAGGCTCCTCTGCAGTGAGGACTTAACCAGCATGGCTAAGTGGGATGTCCCCACCCCACCCCCTACAAGCTGGAACTCTTTCTCTTTTCTCGCAGAAAGGCTTACTCCCAGCTGGGGCTTTCTCAGATACATACAACTGACCTGTGGCTCGGACGCCATGCCCCATCCAAGGTCCCATTCTTAGCTTGTTTCACCCCACTGAACACCCCTTTCCCACTTATTCATGGCCCAAATGGAAAACTGAGATGAGATCCTGGGATCTCGGCAAACTCCGAGTGTGCAGAGAGCGAACAGGACCCGGGCGTCAGGCGGCATGCAACTTGTGGGTACACCATGGGCAGCTCACAGCTCAGAGACCCCCAAGTCTACATGCAATGGCACTGTCGCCGAGAGCCAAAACACCAGGGCAAACCACCTGAAAAGTTTGGGGGCTGGTGATGGATCATCAGCAGTAGGCCCTGCTCCCTGGACACAGGCTCCGGGACCTGGAAGTCCACCCATCACATACTCCAAGCCCTGGAAGACAGCTGGCATCTAGGCAGGACTCCGCTCTCTCTATCTCTTTCCTCCCCGGAGCTGCAGGGAGATCCGCCCCAGCTTTCCAGTCCAGCTTTCCTGCCTCATGATTCCTCCCTTTCAGCAGGGTAAGGGCACTGCTCCCCTCAGAGCAGACCCTGGGGAAGTAATGGTAATAACAACAGCTAGCCACAACTGTGCCGAGCCCTTGACACATAGTAACAATTCAATCTGGCCGGTACCATTTCCATGTGAGGGCAGGCATGGAGAAGCAGGTAGAGGTTAAGGGTTGGCTCTGCTCAGTACCCTCTGTCTCTTTTCTTCTCTCACACACCGGGTCTGAGGTGTTGCAAAAAATGAAGTCAATGATGAAAGCCACACTCGTAGGCCCTGCCACTTTCCAGGGGCACCCTCACTGGCCTGGCATCCCTCAGCCTGGCACTAGCTCTGACTCCCATTCACAGCTGATCACAAGGGCCTCTCAGTCACTCCTTGGCCCAGAAGACCTGGAGACCAGGATGGTGAGGGATGAAAAGGAGGAAGGGAAGGGCCTCCTCAGGTAGCCTTTGCTCATCTTCCCCAAACCACACTCCCGCCCACACCCCACTGTCTGCACCCACCACACTCCACAAAAGGGGCCGTAGGACAGGTGACACACACACACACAGCTCTGCTAAGTACATGTCCCAGAGTGCAGGTGCCTCTCCTGAGCGGAGACCGGCACAGACCTGGGAACTCAATAGGCTCCCTGGCTCACACCCTTAAGGCAGTCAACAACAAAGCCTCACACTGGTTTCTCACGCCTGAGATCCTATCACACACATGTGGGTGAGTGTGTGTAAGTGTGGGTGCAACCTCGGTGTATCTGTCTAAATTTGCATGTGTCCCCCCAGGTGGATAAATCTGTCAGCATTGTGGGCTCCAAAATAAGAGGGGACAATGTCCCCACTGGAGGAAATTCCAAAGCACCAGAAACCTCTATGAACTGTTTTAGCGATTTTTTTTTTCTTCCAACCTTAAAGTTCACACTGTGAATTTAAGGCAGGAACCATATTACACAGCGTTCATGTTTTTGTTCCTCAACTAAAAAAGTGTCTGGACTGTCCAAGACACCAGACATTAAGTACTGCCTACATACCAATTTCCCTCAAATTCTGTGCCCCCCCCCCTTACACATTAAGGAAGGTTTTCGCTGCTCACTTAAAGGGTTCACAATTTTTGTAACACCAGGGGACTGTGTGCGCCTCCAGACTGTGTTAGTGACCTGTGCCGGTGTTCCCTGTGGGTTCATGTCAAGTGGCGTAAGTGTGAGCTCTCTTGTCTGGGCCAGTCACACTCGGGCTGTTTGTTTGTTCAAGTTCAATCTTTTCGCAGCAGCAGCAGCAGCAGCAGCAGCGTCTTAGTAGTAGGTTTCACAGTACCCACAGACAAGGCTGACCTCTTCCCGCCGCAGATGACTGTAGCCACTCGGCTCGGGAGCTACCCGGGCAAACCCTCGTTTGTGAGGTTCAAAGGAAACCCAAGCCCTCCGAGGGTCTTGCTAGAAGTGGGGGTGGGGCGGGTCCGAGAAGGTGTACAACAGACACACACACCTCATGTGTAGCTGGCACTTGAGAAATCATAAACAATGACAGCCCCCCGCCTCTCCACCCCCACAGCTATCCCCTGACAAAGCCGGGTGCACACACTCACGCTCACAGTTAACTCCAACGGGTTCCCAACCAGCGGAGCCCCCCAGCCCCGGGGAGTCCCGCTTCACCCCGCCCGAGCACCCAGTCCCGCAGCCCCCGCCTTGACTGCTGGGTCGCCCACATTTCCTCGCCTCCCAGAGGTGCGAAACCCCGAGGGTCTCGTTCCTCTGCTGGGAGTGTAGGCTATTCCCACAAAAACCCACGGCCGAACTGCGGCTTTCGGGTGTCGGTGCTGAGCCCAGCTGCCAGCAGTTCCCTCCACGAAGGCTGCGGAGCCGGCTGGAGAGCAGAGCCTCCTTGGACGGGTGCTCAGCCCGCGGCCCCCACACGGCGGGGCTCCCCGATAGCGCGCGGGACCCCGACGCCGCTCACCTTCCAGCGCCCAGCAGCCGGCGGACAGCAGCAGCGGCGGCAGCAGCAGCCGAGCGAGCAGCGGCAGAAGCCCCGGCGGCGGGCGGGCTCGGGCCATAGCCCGGGGCGCTCGGGGGGCCGAGCCGGGCCGCGCCGGCGGGGCTGGGGGCGCCCGAGGAGAAGGCTCGGGCACAGTCCAAGAGATCCCGGCAGGGAGGGGGCGCAAAGCAGACGGGCGGCTCCGTCACCGAGGTGTCGCCCAACCCGGCGCTCCGGGGAGATGCCGGCAGGTCGGTCCCGCGGGAATCTGGACGGACCGGTCCAGGAGGATCCGGGGCGCTGCGCGACTCGACGCCGGAGGACTCGGGAGGCAGAGGGCGCGGGTGGTCGCGGTTCTCGGGGTACAGTCCACGGCGGGCCGGGCTCGGATCCCGGGCTCCGGGTGCGCGCGCCGTCCGAGGTAGGAGCCGGGATCTGGCTGCGCCGCTCACGTACTCACTTCTGCTGGTCCTCGCGTTGGAGCGGCCGCTCTGGGCGAGAGGGGCGGGGCTCCCGGCCTGCCCGTCAACACTCCGGCCACGCCCCCAGAGGCCGACCGCCCACTCACAGACCGCCCAGCCAGTCGGTTCTGCTGCGAGAGCACCTCTGCTGGAGTTCAGTTGGCCGCTCTTCCACCGAGCCCACCCTCGGCGTCTTGGGGCCTGGAGCGGGAGGAGCTAAGGAAAAGATGAATTAGATTGGGCGGAGCCACCCTGTCCGTCAGCGGGATAACCCCGCCCCTTTTCTTCCATTGGCGATTAGTAACCAGCTCGAGTCCTAGGAGGTGATAACCGGATAGAACGAGCTGGGGGCGCCCCCCTGTGGCTAGCGGACCCCTGGGACTCTGCGGCTTTTTTCCTCCCAGGCGCGTCCTGACCCAGCCTAGGCCTTGGCGAGTAGGGAAAGAGCTGGGGGGTGGGGTTTACCCACACCCGCAGAGCCAGCTCCCAGGGCTTCTCAAGGGTTTATTTATTCGTGCACTCAGATGTGATAATTTGTTCAATAAATACTTTTGGACACCCACAATGTGTCAAAGAATGGCTAGCGCTGAGAAGTTTGTGTTATCCTGGAGCCATGTGAGCGGTGGAGGTAGGTTTAAAGCTCACAGCGAGGGGTAACAAGCATTCCTGCAGAGAAAGAACCTAGATTTTCGAAGCTAGCATTAGGTCTAAGGAAATGGCACCCGAGTGACAATATGAAAGATAAGTAATAAGCGTTATTTCCAGGCAGAGAACACGCACTTTGTATTAAGACCTAGAATCGAAGAATCTGAAAGTTCAGAATAGCTTGGGTGTGGAGTCAGAGACGAGAGGTGGAAAGAGGCTGTGAAGTAGGTGTGGAGGGGCCCGGAGAATGTTTTTTTGGACTGGTGATATAGCCTTCCTCAGAGTTAGTTTGAAACAGGGGGGGCTTGCCCTATCTGGTTGGCATGGCTGACCCGAGGAGGATGAGCAGGCAGGGACAAGGGTGGCTCGTAAATGGACTTTGTTGTGGTCGGGATGGTGGCTTTAGACTAGGTGATAGCTCTGAGGAGGAGCCAACAAGGACAAGTTTGAAGTATATTTAGGGGGTAGAGTTCGCCAGACACTATGACTAGGTGGTTGAGAGAGGTGCAGTCGTCAGGAACATCAAAGGGAACCTCTAGATTCCCGCAATGGACTTCCGCCGGTTCATTTCTTAGAGCATTTACAAGGCGCAATAAACACCCTGAACAATAGCGCACACTTTTTCAAGGTAGGTGTTATTATAGCCTCATTTCACAGACAAAACTGAAGAAAGAAAAAAGAAAAGACAGAGACAAACTGATGTGTAACAAGACCTGGCAGCTTGCCCCAAGTCATACAGCTAACGAGAGGTGGGAGCTGAACTCAGGGCTGCATAAACACCCATTTCACTTCATCAAAGACCTCAGGAGCCCCCACGTGTGTTCAAAACAGAACCTTGAGATGTCCTTCCCCACCTCTGACATAAGGACTCAGAATTTCTGCAATGTGGAGCCCAAAATTCTGTACTGTAACAAACGGGTGGTTCTGATGTGCACTGAATTCTGAAGTCATGACCACCATGCATCCTTTCGCTGTCCTAAGTGGGTAACCATCACCCCACGGTCCCTCAGAGCCTTCCTTACCTACCCTCTAGTTTCTGGGCCAAAGAATGAGAGTTAGGTTCAAGATGGCCTCAGACACATGATGGACAGACTTGTTCCCCTGACCACGAAGCACCCCAAGACTCCAGCTCAGGAAAACCCTAGCAAGGTGGGTGAGGTCATGAATCCAGAGCCTGAGGATACTGCTTTGAAAAAGCTTTGTCTCTCTGAGCAGGGACTGAGGTATGTGTGGGTGTATGGAGCTGGGGTTGGGGTGGGCACTAAATGCCTTATTCAAAGACCTGATTCATTCTTAAATTCTAAAAGCTTCCAGAAACCTCTAGCAAAGCTCTAGTCCACAGAAGGGATCTTGGAAACCATCTTATCCAGCTCTCAATTGTGGGGCTGGAGATCCCGAGGTGGAGAGAGGGGGCTGCTTGCTCTGTAGCCCTCTCTGTCCTGGAAAGCTGGCTGGTGTTGACCAGGGTGGATTTTCAGCAGGTGGCCTAGGGGCAGCACATCCCAATTAAAGACTTGCTTATTGAAAGGCAGAGAAGCGAGGTTGGCACTCCTGTTTGCTCAGCATCTGTGCCAGACGAGGCCTCGCCCTGGACAAACAGCCCACCAGGCGGCAGGCACCAAGCTCCTTTGTTCCTGGGTCTGATAGCAGAGGCAGTGGTGGCGGTAACGGGGGCCTGTCCCCACCGGATGTTGGCACCATGGTTCCCACGGGAATGCTTCCTGACCTAGATGTTGACAGACCGGACAGCACCAAAGTTCTGGCTATGTTAGCCGGTGGCGACAAAGGGAACAGGAGATGGGGGCAGGTAGGCACACTGGAACTGAAAGCCAAATGTGTAGAAGGTCCACACTTCCTCATCTTCCCAGCAGAGACACCAAGGAACCCAGGGAATAGGCTCTGGCCTTGGACTTTGAAATGGAGGGAACACAGCGAGGCTATGGTAAAAACATTTCTTTGGCCACATCACCGTTTGCCTGTTTGATTTTAGGAGGAAGCTTGACGCTCAGAAGGACCCAAGTCCAAACTGGCAGGCCCATACAGCTGTGGGGTCTGTAAGATGCTGGACCACCTGAGCCCCAGTATCCACGTGAACAGGAGTGAGTGAAGATCTGAGGAACCAAAATAAGTGGACCCCCTGATAAGGAATGTCTAGCTCCCCAATCCTCTCTGCAAGCACCATGGGTTCTGAGACAGCCGAGGAGTGTGTGAGGCGGTTAACAACTCCAGGTTTCTTTTCAGGAGATAAAGCTTCTGCCCCTGACTTGAGCAAAACAGAGGAAGAGAACCTGAGGCAGGAAGCGGAGGCCGAACCACTCTGATAAATGCTTTAGAGGCTTTCTGTTGTAGACCAGGGTGGAGGCGAGGGGACCAGCGGAGACACCAGTGGCCGGGGTTGTGCCACAGTGGCCCAAACAATACGGTAGAGAGGAGCCTTCTTTAGGTAGAAGGGAAAGGAAGGACCTGGAGATGAGCGGGCCTAGGACAGGAAGAGGAGTGGAGAGGACATCGTGATGGGGGCGGGATGGAGGGTTTTGTTCTGTATGTACTAGCTGAACTTGGGAGGCCTGTGAGGAGGGGAGTGGAGATGTGCCCATCCATCCTCTTCTACTGACTGCTATCTGCCCTCTGAACAGCCAGCTCTGCTCTCCCTGGCATTTGGAAGTCCCACGTCAGGATTTTGCCCGGACCGTTCCCTCTGCCTGGTGCTCTTCCTCCACTCTTCACTGGGGGTACTTCCATCTCAGTGTTTGGATATCAGCTGGCCCCATGTTTCCCTCCTTCTTCTCCACACATCGCTGTCTAGCCATGGCATGATTGACACTGCCTAAGATTACATCATTAACCATCAGTTTTCACATATATTGTCTCCTCTGATAGAACATGAATCTCCTGTTGGGTAAGGACTTTTCTTATTTGCCACTGATCCCCAATATGAAGACCAGTGTTCTGTATGAAGTGCCTGCTCACTAACAGTTTACTAAACGAATAAGTATGTATGCAAGCACCAGGTACTTTTAGCCACTTCCTGGTCCTGAACTGGAGGCAGACATTACTAATCAACCCTAGACTCTTTTATCCATGTGATGTTCCATACAGCCATTGCCAGCCTGCAGAGAACTGGCACACAGAGTTATAACCATCTGCTATTCCTACTTGCTACTTACACAGCCTTGTGCGAGTCTTTTGAAAGCTCTTTGAGCCTCACTAGTATCCATCAAATGTCTCATACAAGATGTGGAGATAACCTTTTCACCTCTCCCTTATTCCTGGGATCCCAAGCTGGATATTACTGTGCTGACCAGCATTATGTCCAGGAGGGCAGGCGGGCTCAGGTCCAGTTATCCTCTTGAGCCACACCACTCCTGACTTTTCTGCTTTCCTGTTTTATTACCAGTCCCCCAAAGGAAAGGCTGAAGGGACCTTTGATAGCTAGTTCAAAAATCCCCTCAGTTTCAGATAAGGAAACGGACCTCAGAGAAAGGAAGTCAATGGAGCCACTAGTTGACCGACCGCATCTCGCACTTAACTCCACGTCAGGGGCCAGTCGATCAACTCTTCCTTGATAACGGGGATATGACAAGAAGGCTGCAGTTCCTTATACCCAAGCACAGTCTCCAAGCCCTAAGAGGCAAACAGCCTGGCTTCCCTGAAGGCTCTGAGCACTTGGCCCTAGACATCCACTCATAGGAGGTGAGAGGAGCAGGTCTCTCCCTCGAAGTCGCTTTGGGGAATTGCCCTGGGCCGTTGGGGCCACTGAGAAGCTTTTGGCTATTCCACAGCCTGTTGGTGACTCTTGGCAGCTTCTTGCCTTTCTCTCCTTCCCACTCAGCCTGGCTGACCCTCACCGTCCTCTCAAAGTTATTCTGCGCTATCCCCTTCTAGTGCAAGAGCTCAGTGTGGGCTTCCCTTGAGGGAAGGGAAGGGAGGAAATGGTGGAGTACTGGCAGAACCTCCCTGTGCTCTTGGATAGGGGATCTTTAGACATCGTCCCTAGAGGGAGCACTTTGGGAGCCTTTGAGCTGGCTGGCCTGTGCAGTGTGTTTGCAAGTGGTCTCTTTGTGCAGAGAGGTCCATGGTTTTTTTTTCCCCCTCTAGGAGCTATTTGAAGAAACATTGATGTTTGAAGGAACAGAAAGGCAGATCCTTGTTCAGGAGGGCAGGGAGAACCCAGAGGGACTGACTCCAAGGTACTAATTAAGGACCAATACCCATAGCCATCAGAGGAAGTCAAGAACTGGAGAAGACTTGGGCTTTTGTGTTTAATTAGGAAGGATGGAATAACAGGGGCCAGGGGAAGACTTTAGGAAGACAGATTTCAACGTGCTGTTTAACGTGCAATCAGTTTATTGACCAGTTATCACGAGCCAGGCACAGAGATGCAGCTATGAACAAAGGAGTTTATGTGAGGGGAGCCAGGAGGAGTGTTGGCCTTACAGGACAGGCTTAGGACACCACAGGAAAGAGGCATAGACATGGCACAGGATCCAATTGTCAAAGACAGCTCCAGGTGAGGTCCATGGAAGCCTCCTCAGGAAGCAGGCAGTGTGCAGAAACCGGAAAGAGGCTGGGGAAGCGGAGGGTGTGGTCGGGAAGGAGAGCAAGGGCATGGGGCTGTGAAGCATGGCACTCAGACCCAGAAGCACACTGGGGCCACCCGGCAGCTTCCAAAAGGAAGAACGCTCGCTCACCCACGGAGATTCTGCTCTGAGGCAGGGTCTGTGCACGGGTGCATTCCTAAAGCTGCCCACTCGTTCTGACGTTGGGGGCAGAGCAAGGGGAGAACAATGGGCTAATAGCTGGGAAGATGGCCCCAGTAAAGTGCCTGCCTGCCGCGCAAGAATGGAGACCTGAGTTCAGATCCCCAGCACCCAGGTAAAATGTTCTCTGCCAAGGCAAGTGCCCAGGGTCCCAGCAATGAGGAGTGGAGACAGGAGAATCCCTGGGAGTTGTTGGCCAGCCAGTCTAGCCAACTGGTGAGCTCTAGGTTCACTGAGAGAATCTATCTAAAAAATCCAAGGGGAGACAATGTTGACATCTGGCCTACCCATGCACACACACACACATACACACACACACACACACACACACACACACACACACACACACACTCGTGCATACAAAATAAAAATCAAAAGACAAGTACTGATCGTAGAAATACAAGTTGTAAGGTGTGAGGTGTGGCTCAGAAAGTGATAGCAGTCAGCAGTGTGTCCCCTGAATTAGGGATGTGCTGCTCAGAGGAGGGACACAGGAAACCATGACACACAGGTTTCAAGGCCTCAAGCAGAGGCCTATGCTGGCCCATGGCTTTGTAAAATAATGCTTATGAAAGGTTTTTCAGTTTGTGTTTCCTCTCCCTGTCTCCCCTCAGTGCTGCTGTAGGAGTAAGGAGTCCCTGACTCCTTACAAATGTTCCCTCAGGGCTGTCAGGGCTAATGAGACTTTCCAGGTCTCCTGGTCCAGCTTCTTGCCAAAGGAAGTCGCCTAGTGGCGGTGGGTAGGGTGATGCTGCAAGCCTGTGCCAGTCCTGGCGCCCCGTGTCTCTGGAAGCTCAGGTCCTCTGCGCCAGCCTCAGGTGGGGAGCGCTCATCTGGAGCGCCTGCTCCTCCTCCCCATGGGCCCCATTCTCCGGCACCTGCTCAAGCACTAGTCTGGTTAATTCCAGTAGGGGCTTCTTTCCCAGCACAGACAAAAACGACACGGTCCTCCACTGTGTCCAGTTCACACAGCAGAAGTGAGATGCTTCTCATTGTCCCCCTACACTCCGCTCCCGCCCACCCGGCTGCCACTCTAAGGCTAAGCCACATAGCCTTTTCCTGCTCACCTGCCTCTCCCCAGGCCTGTGGGGGGACTACAGCTGCCGTTCACTGAACCATGCTGCACCTCAGCCACCAGCTGGCAGGAAATGGAAGGTTCAGAGATAGGTAGGTGGGGAACTTGGCCGTGCCTCTGATGACCAGGCCCTTTCATCTCCTTAATTCTCCATTTCCCATGTATAAGACAATGACCCCCACTTGGGGACACAGATGTAAGGATTACAGGAGAGATTAAAGCCTATGATAGCTAGAGTACTTAGATAGTGCCATTTACTGTTTATTTACACTGGCTGCTATTAATTAACGCTACACGCTCTTCCCACTTGTGCTGAGTGTTCTAACGTTTTAAACTTTTACTCCTTTTTATCAAATAGGTAAGAAGAGCTAGGTGTGGTGGCTCATGCCTGTAATCCCAGCATTCCAGGAGGTTGAGGTAAGAGGACCATTGTGAGCTGAAGGCTAGCCCAGACTACAGAGTAAGTTCTAGGGCAATCTGGACTAGAATAAAGCACTACCTGAAATTTTAATTAGTTAGTTGAGGGAGGGGGGGTGTAGACTATAGCGTTAGGGGTACTGTGCCCTCCCCACATGCAGGCAGGCCTTGATTAGATCTGGGGGCCACCTAGTGGCCACTGTCGGATCATCCCACGCTACCCCTGGCTAGGTAACAGACTAACTTAGCTGGCTGACAGACTAGCCCTCCAAGGGGCATCAAGACAAAGCACAGGGGATGCTAGAACGTGTTTTCCCTGAACACAATGTGTAGATTATGTTCCCAAGAACTGACGCAGTAGGGCTAATGAGACAGGGCGGCAGCCATGGGGGAGAGTTTTAATAGTTGGTGACTCGGTTTCCCTCTGGGCCCCCAGAAGGTGAGCGAGCACGCTAATATGCTTGGAGACGGTGGAGTGAGGGAAGAGGCTGGAAGAAGCCCCTTTCCTCCTTCTGTGGGGGTACCGCCATGAGCGAGGATGGTTGGTGCGTGCGGTCTGTTTTCACGTAGTTGCCGACACCGTCAACCTATTAGAATACAATAATGACTGCTGTGCTGAAAAACAAGGGGAGTTTTCCAAAGGGCGGCCAGGCGAGGTGACACTGAGGACACACTGTGGATGCTGAGCCGTCAGGAATGACTGACGTGGGCAAGGCAGGTGGCAAGAGTAGGTAGGACAGGAAGAGGAGCGAGTCACCCTGACGCACAAGCATGAATGAAAGGCTGTTCCAGGATCCCAAGGCTGGAAGTGTTCTGATCTCCCTGGGCCCTGACTGTGGTCCCCAGGCTCTGCCCCCAGTCCTTTGAGTTTCATACCACACAGTACCCTCGGGGAAAACAGCTACCCACATGGCTCTTTCCCATGCTCCTGACTGCACACACCCCACCTGGTTCCTGGGCATCTCCATTTGGGCATCCTTCAGGTACCTCAGACCAAGCATGTGCAGATGATAGCCATCTCCACCATACCCCCACCTCACATTCTCTCCTTCAGGATCCTGTGGCATGGGGAAACACAGCTCTAACACAGCGCCCCAAACAGATGGCGCGGAGCCCCTTCGTCCTTCCTGTTAGTTCTCACGCAGGACAGAGTTTAGCTCCACACATCCTTTTCTTCCTCGCCCGGCCTCTGGCTATCTGTGTCCTGCCACCACAGCTACTGTATCAGTGTAGTTCAGCCCTTTTCTTGGTGTTGGATTGCGATTGCCTTTTAGCTGGTTCCTACATGCTTAGCTGCTCTTAAGTTAGTGTTTGAGACTCGATCGGTCACCTTTGGGTTGCTGTGAGAAGATGCCACGATCAAGGCAACTTAGAGAAGAAAGAGTTTATCTCGGCTTGTGGTTCCAGAGGGATAAGGACCTTCATGGTGGAGGGCCCTGGTAGCAGAAACAGGAAGCTGAAAGCTCACATCTTGAACCCTTATAGCACGAACCAGAAAGAGAACTGGCAGTGGGCGGGGCTTATTTCTCTGAGTCTACCCCCATGACACACTTGCCTTGAGTCTGAGACCTGCTAGTCTCAGTGAGTCCTGGGCCAGCCTTGGCTGCACAGCAAGATCCTGTGTCAACAATCCCCTCAAGCTCCTCAGAAAGGATGTGGGACCTGCAATCAAGCAAAATGGACTTAGATGTCCTCACTCACTACCGATGGGATCTTAAGTCATGCTACCCCCCCCCAAGCCCCCCGTTTCCTATCCTGGAGGATGCAGGTAATAATAGCACCTATGGACCATTAGCTGTAGGTACCATGGCTACTGTTTCCCTCTGTCCCCGGCCACCTCTCCTCCTCTCAGCTGCCCTTAGTGGCCCGCCTGTCCTTCACCAGCTGCACAGTCATGGGCAGCACCGCCCAACCAAAGTTAGCCCGTTCCACCATTTGTGTCCCAGGAGGGAACAGCTAGTTATTTACCCTACTCCACAGCCAGGAGGGTGACGGAGGGGCACAGGGGAAAGGCCATTGAGTCGCCTCCCTCCCCAGAACTGAAGGGTTTTAATTAGGAGCTGGCCCACCTTATCCAAACACAAGAGAAACCCATTTGTAGTTACAGAAAAGGAAACAGAAGAAATGAAGATGGCAAAAAGAGACAACAGTATCGTTGGGTTCCCCGTCCAGTCTGCTTCTGGGCCTAAACCCCCACTGTTAGGAGACTGACCCATCTATTTACGTTAAAAAATATTATTGGGCTACTATAACATGAGGGAGAATCTCAAAAATAGTAAAGTGGTGTCACTGTTCCTGAGAGGGTAATTATACTGTTATAGAACACACATACAGGGGTTGGGGATTTAGCTCAGTGGTAGAGTGCTTGGGTTCAGTCCTCAGCTTCAGAAAACAAAAAAACAAAAAACTTACCTCCACAAGAGAACACACATACATATGCATATGTATACATATACTCTTTATGTGTGTGCTCCTGCCCCCTCTCTCTGAAAGAGCCTTAAAAGCAAATGGTACAGCTATTAACTGAGACAACGTCAGGAGAGGTCAGATCGCCAAAGGTTGAAGTTTTCTGGGAGCTGATGACCCACAGAGGAGTCTTGGGAGAAATTCTTAGTGGACCCACCCTTCAAAGTAAGAGCCTAGGTTTTGGCCGGGCGGCGGCGGACACCTTTAATCCCAGCACTCGGGAGGCAGAGCCAGGTGGATCTCTCTGAGTTCAATGCCAGCCTGGTCTACAAAGCGAGATCCAGGACAGGCACCAAAACTACACAGAGAAACCCTGTTTCGAAGAACAAAACAAAACAAGAGCCTAGGTTTCCAAGGCTGCCTCTCTGGGAATCTTTTGTGGATTCATTTCTAAGGACAAGTCTTTGTTCTATGAGCACACTACCTTGGATGGGAGCCACTGAATGCTGACACCCTGAACAGACTCCCACACATCTCCCAGTGTGTCATGTTATTCCCTCTGGAAGTTTTGATGCTGGAAGTCCACCCTGGCTTTCCTCTTCAGGCTGATCAAATAGCCCGATTGTCTTGGACCGGATGGATGGGGCATGCGAGTATGGGTGGGTGTGTAGAAAGGAGTGTGTCAGAGGAAGGCCAGCCATCTCCAGGTTGGTCACTTCCCTTAATGATCTTTTTTTTTTTTTTTATTCCAGGTGTCACGAGATCTTGGCAATCCCTTGCATAGTTCATCCAGGAATTGCTCTCGAGAGAATTGGCAAGGAGCTCTGTTTGGGGGCCTGGAGTGTGTTTTGACTTGTGACCCAGAGTAGGGGTGGAACCCCGGGTGGAGGGTGGTGGTGCTATCTAAAATCATGGCTGGAACTCCACTGTGGTGGAGCCAGGCATTTTCAAGGATGGGCTCCTGGGCTGTGGTGAAGGTTCAGAAGTCTCTAGCTTTTGTGTCCTGTACCTGCATCCGTGGGCTCCATGCCACACCATCAGATCAACATGGACCCCAGGGAAGCATGACTGGACCTGGACGGGGAATTGAGCTGAATTGCCCCCTTTCTAGCGGACAACTTATATAAATTATCTTTCAAGCCTGACCACTTGAGGCGTCGAAGGAGGTGCTGGTAATAATTATACCGGACCAACTGGCTTGAACTGCAACCACCCGAGGCAAACCCCGTTCAGACTCCTTACTCATTGGTCAGATAAAAGTTCAAGACAAAGGGATGATGCCTAGAAGCAAATCGTTGGTTGAGTTGGCCAACAAGTCTTTCCAAATCCACCCCCTCCTCTTTTATCCCCTACGTCACGCTTTGTGAAGGACGCACTGTTAACAGTGGCACAGTTTGACTTGGTAACCTCCATCTAGACCTTGCTTAGTCTGTGGTCACCCGGAACACAGCCCACGAGTGCTTCTCTGTGCCACTGTACTCCAGGTTGTTTTGTAACCACAAAGGGTTATTAAGTGTGAAGAATAGGGCTTGTCTACATGATCTGTCAATATTGAGAGGGCACAGAGCAACAGAAACTGGCATGTTGCTGGCATGAGAGTGAATTGCATGACAGACTCAAGGAGCACAGTATCTGCAGCCCAGAGAGCACCCCTGGGTGTACCCTTGGGAAGCTCTTGTATGTGCCAGGGTACATGCTACCTAGCAGCGTTATCTGTAAGCGAAGACCTGCCAGCAGCCTGCAGGCCCTTACCAGGGTCATGGCTTCAGAAAACCATCAGCAAGCTGGAGGTGTAGCTGAGAAGTTGAGCAGGTGCCCAGAGCAGCCACAAAATAAAGATAACAACAAACAGTGACAACCCACCAGTCAACTTGTGTCAAGAACAGTTTAGAGAAAAGGGCACGCTCCTGGAGGATTTCTGTTGGGCAGCACTCTCTATAAAAAAGGTCCAGAAGCATGCTCGGACGCAGCAGCAACATTAAACATGTCTGCAGTAACAAACTAGATTGGAGCACAGTGGCTGTGGGGAGGAAACGCATGGCCACCAACAGGAAGTGTACAGCAACTTGGGTTGCCTGGAGTCTTTTCTGTTTTAGCTGGTGGCATGTATACAAGGCTCATTTTGGGCTTTTCAGGCGACAGATCTGCTTTCTGAATCTAGCCCTGTACTTGGTTTCGAGTGGCCTTAGACATGTTCACTTGACAATTTCCTTCTCTGTTAATGGGGTTCTCATAGTGCCCACCTCAAGAGCGGCCACGGCACTTACATGGCTAACCAGGGATTTTCTTTGTTTCCTACAGAAAGTGTGATCTTGGATCCTTCTGTAATGAACCCTGGCAGCAGGGGTACCGGACGTGAAAGTAGGACTTGGGGGTTGGGTCCATGTCTCCACAGGCAGGCTTGGGGTGAGCTGGTGGCATGTGCCATTTACAAATTCACAGAGACAGTCTTATTTCTACCTGGTATTTCCTGGTAGTGCCGAGCTCAGAATGCCCCCCTTCTCTCCCTTCCCTTCACCTCCAGTGTCTACTACCTCTGTCCATTTACAGGACCGGACAGATAGATGCCATTCATGGTCACTCAGCTGTTGAGAGACGAAAGTGGGATTCTAACCCAGGGATCTCAGGAATAACACACATCCAACCTAAACCTGGTGTTCATACCCTTGGTCATGTTCCATTTGAGCATCTTTTTTTTGTTTTTGTTTTTGTTTTTGTTTCCTGAGATAGGGTCTCACTGTGTAGCTCTGACGATCCTGGAACTCACTATGTAGATAAGGTTGGCCTCGAACTCACAGAGATCCACCTACCTCTGCCTCCTGAGTAAGTGCTAGGGTTAAAGGCGTGTGCAACCACAGCCAGCCCATTTAGGAATCTTATAAAAATCACCAGACACTGTTCTCACCTGAGGGAGCTCTGGCATCTGACCACATGGACATGGCAACTTTCAGAGCTTCCTGGACAGGCAGGTGCCAGGCAGGGGTCCACATTCCCACCCTTGCCGAGGTTGTGGTGGGTACGTGTGCATGAGCGCAGGTGTCTATGGAGTCCTGAAGAGAGCTGGAGTTGTAGGGAGTTGTGAGCCGCCTGATAGGAGAACTGCGTTTTGATCTTCCACAAGAGCCTATGCGCTCTTAACCTTTGAGCCACCCCCTCCCCCAGCTCCTACTCTTTTGCTTCATATTTTACTGCATTTTTCAACAAACAGCTTCTAAAAATATCTGACCGTGTAAACATTTATGTCGTCCTGCTCTTTCTACACAGACACTGCTGAAGCATTTCTTCTGCAAAGAGAATGACGGGGGAAAGTCCGCTCCCCTCACATCAGCCCTCCACCTAGCTCCCCGCAGGCTCACTCAGGTGTACTAGTCCTACTAGCCAGTGACCGACTGCAAATAGGTAGAAGTACTTGGTTCCCCGGGTCTCAAGGACCCAGAGCCACCGCCAGTGCCTTGAGAAATTCAGAGGAAATTCACTAGAGGGCGCTACAACACTGCCCTGCGAAAAGCATTGCTCCTGCTTTCCGGCTCACGGCTTTCTTTTTCTCCTCCTAGCCCCTGCGGGCCCCACCTTCAGTTAGCAGGGGTGCTGTCGTATTGAGCACCCATTCAGCACAAAGCCGTAGGCTAAGTGCGGACATGCAAGGGTCAGGGCACAGGTATGGCCCACTGGGAAGGTGAAAGGTGGACTGAGAGTCCAGAGAGGCAGCGCCTCAGGCTCTTTCCTGCTTCCGGGGACTTACAACCCATATGCACACACAACACGTATGCACCATATAAATGACATGCGTTCGTGCACGTATCGAGTGAACAATATACAGTATATTCCTTTTTTTTTTTTTTCCATAGCTGTCCGGACAAGAAGCGTTTTAATCGGGGAGAGGCTTCATTTGGACTCACTGTCTAAGTACAGTCGGTGATCGCAGGGGAGGTATGGTGGGGTGTGTGAGGCACCGGGTCCGCCTCACATCTGCAGTCAGGAAGCAGAGGGAGATGCTTCCTCCTTCCCCTTTATATTTGGTCTGGGACCGCAGTCCATCTGATGGTGCCAGCCACATTCAGGGTAAGCCTTCCTCTTTCCTCGGTTAAACCTCCCTAGAAACACTCTCACAGACCTCAAAATGTGTCTCCTAGGCGATTCCAAGTCCCATCAAGCTTGCTCCGTTAACCAGCACGCCCGCACACCCTGTGCATAGGCCGCATTCCCAACACCCCACAGAACAGACCCGGGGGAGAATGTGGAACCAGTAGCGGCGAGTTTACAACTTGAGAGAACAACTCTCAGGGCCCCAGACAATCCGTGGAGCATGAGGATCACTGTAAAAGAGCCCCCGTTAAAATGCACACATGCTAACCACATGTTCCCCCGAGGGCTACGTGCACGCCTCCATGCCCACTGGCACGTCAGCTGATTTACTAGGTGCTGAGGCTGGGGTCCTGGAGCTTTTGTTAGGGGGTCAGAATGAGCTCGGCGCTGGGGAGGGCTAGCTAAGCAGGCGCAGACTCTGCCCGATCTGCTCACCACCGCACTGTGGGCTAATTACCAGCCCGGCTTTCTAGAGGGGGACAAGAAGACCCAGGGGTGGAAAGTGGTTTTTCTAGGCTCAAATAGCAGTAGGTAGTGGAGCTGGAATTCCAATTACGCCCCGAAAAAAACTTGCTATTAGGCAGATATGGAAACAAAAGACCCCAAATAAGCCAGGTGTGGTAGTCCAGGTCTGTAATCCCAACACTGGAGAGGCAGAGACCTAAGGGTCACCACATGCTTAAAACCAGTCTGGTGAGTTCTAGGCCAGCCAGGAGACCCTGAATCAAAGCAAGACAACCATCAAGACAACAATGATGAAATTTAAAATAAAAAGATTAAGCCACTGGGGAGCTGGAGAGATGGCTCAGTGGTTAAGAGCACTGGCTGCTCTTCCCAGAGGACCAAAGTTCAATTCCCAGCAATTACGTGGCAGATGACAACTGTCTGTAACTCCAGTTCCAGAAAATTCAACACCCTAACACCCTCATACAGACACACGTGCAGGCAAAACACCAAAAAAAAAAAAAAAAAAAATAAAGATTAAGACATAAAATAAATAAAAAAGATGTGAGACCCCACAGGGAGCAGCTCTCCATTTTTTGTCTTCCTCTTGCTCTGTCTGCATTCACAAGAATTTTGCTGCTCAGGCTGCTCACCGCTTAGGATCTCCAAACAGTCCTGTTAGCTGAGCCTAGACCTAGCCGACCCTAGAGCAGTGAAGTCTTCAGTGGTGGGCAAAGATGCCTGGAGAGCTTTTGTGGCAAGCTCCGGGGAGACTCCCGGTGAGACTCCACTGCCAGCAAGTGAGCTATCTGTGGAAGAGGGTGATGCGTCAGAAATCAAAGATGGGTAGGAAAGATGGGTAGAAAAGATGACTCAGCAGGTGCTGGAGTTCAGTCCCCAGGAGCCAGGTGACAGAAGAAGAAAACTGATCCCACAGTTTGCTTTCTGCTCTCCACACGTGTGCTACAGCACACACATGCCCCCTGCCCTCACTGAGTAACATACAAATGCAATAACAGTAAAACAAAGTGAAAATTTGACCTGGCACCAAGTGACCATCCAGCCGAAACTGTCCACTGGGAGGTGGGACTGGTGAGATCTATCAAGATCTAAGGTCTATCGGGCCCATCAATAGTCCGCTATAAGCTTAGAATGGTACATTTGACCAAACATAGGCGGATCTGAAGTCAGGCAAGCTGCATAATGCCTGTGCCATCCATCCTCCCAGGACCCTAGCCTCAGCTGATGCCAGCGGCTGGATGAGCTCCTGTCCAGGTAGCTGGAAGAGGAAGAAGGGCCTGAGCTTTCCTCACAGAAGGTGCAGGTCTGTGTGTGCTTGCCAAGTGGAAACTGTGTCAGCCTTGCTCAGGGGCAGCCTGGAGAAACCAAGGCAACCCCCCCACCCCCCCACACACACTAAACACAAAGTTTCAGATGAAACAGTTAATCACCCGCATTGTGCAGAAAGAGCGGTGTCCTGAAGTTTAAGTATATGCACCTCCTGGGTCAAGGCTGTGCAACAGTACCTGGGACCTGGACAAAGTGTAAACATCTTCACATCACAGGGAAGCACCCATTAGGATAGCCATTATGGAGAGGTGCTGAACTACCAGCCAGACAGAATGACCTGGGCAGTGACATCAGCCAGCCTTTTGGATACCCAGGTGTCAGCAGGACGGTATCATGGCCACAGTGCAGTGATGGAGGCTACTCATGAAATCAGCAGCTTGACTGCATCTTACCAAGCCCCACCTAGGTACATCCGGTACTTCCTTCTCTTGAATGGCCAACCAGCTAGGGATGTGGGTGAAATGGGGTGTCGAATCACTCACCAGTGTGCATCTGTCAGCAGTGCTGGAGCCTCCTCAAGTCTGCCTGGAATGGTTGAGCAATGGAGGCGGAGCTTTTCTGTCCCGACCGCCCAGTCCCAAATAAACACACAGAGGTTTATATTAATTACAAAATGCTTGGCCAATAGCTCAGGCTTGTTACTAAGTAGCTCTTACATTTAAATTAACCCATTTCTGTTCATCCATGTATTGCCATGTGGCCTCTGGCTTTACCGGTCCTCTAGCATCTGGCTTCTTGGGCTGCTGGCTTGAGTCTCTCTCAACTCTGCCCTTCTTCATCCCATTCCTCGGTTTGATTGTCCCACCTAACTTTATCCTGCCTTGCTATAGGCCAAGCAGCTTTGTTATTAACCAATGAGAGTAATACACATTCACAGCACACAGAAGGATCACCCCACAGCAAGACTTCATCCATGTGGGCAGAGCTGTGTGCCTGAGGTTCTCTTTCTTTTATTTTTCTTAAAAGGATATTATGTTACGCCCTTCCCTTCGGAGGTGACTGAGTTCCCCAGGAAGGCAGCCTCTGCAACGCTTCCTGTCAGCCCCCCAGCTCTGCCAACCCAAACCAGCTCCTTTCCTACCAGGCTCTCTAAAAGCTCAGCCTACAAGATTCCAAGACGGAGGGACACCTTTCAGACAGACAGACAGCCGAGCCTGTGATTAAGGGTCTCTCTCTTTTCTTTTTGTCCCCCTTAAAATAGCATTATGCTATGGAAAGATCTAAAGACCTTCACAGCACTCCCCAGGGAACATCCTGAGACATGGATGTCACCATCCTTATCTCACTGGGAGCTGGACTCAGATTTCATAGTTCATTTTGTTTCTAGTCACACAGGGGCCCGAGGGTGGGGCTCCCAGGACCCTGCACGTTGAATGACTTCATTGGACTCAGTCTTGGCCCCGATGGATCTATAGGGAGAGAGCCTCGGCCTTTCTGGTGTCGTCTCCATCTTAGTGGGGGAAAGGGAAGGAAGCTGACTTGGCATTTCTTTCAGGAGCAGGGAAGTTGAGACAGGATGAGGATCTGCAAGCAACCACCCAGAGGGAGGTCTCCTGAGTGCATAACTAACTGCATTGCCTCATCAAGGGGATGACTACACCTCCCACCTCCTTGCGTCTGGTGATTCAACTTTTCTGAGGGATGGTCTATTGGTCACATGATTGACAGGTCCAGATGGGAGCAGACAGTAGTATGAACTGTTTGGGCCAATTTAGAATGTCATGTCTCCACCTAGAGGCAGGGGGAGAACTCAAATTCTATTCTTTTGACCAGGAGGAAGTAGTTTTCCTTAAAAAGTTTTAAAGTTAATGTACTGTGTGCGTGGTATAGCATGTGTGTGAGGTCAGGAATGTTGGCACCTTCCACTCTGTTGAGGCAGGGTCTCTCTTGTCTCTGCCACTGAGGAGTTGACTCCACCCTAGCCGGTTCTGCGCTTGAGAGATTCTCCTGTCTCCACCTCCCATCCGGGCAAGAGTGTTAGGATTGCAGATGTCTGCCACAACACGGGGTTTTTTATGTGGGCTTCCCGGACGGTTTCTGGTGATGGGACTTAGTCATCAGGCTTGCACAGCCAATGCCTTCACCCCAACCTGAAGTAGCTTTCCGTCAGCAGGACTCCACAAAGTCCTCACATCTCAACATGGTCACATTGTATCTTAAATCTTAAGGAGGGGCAATTGGGAAGCTTCCCTTTCTAGGGTTTCCAATGAGAGATGGGGTCCGAAGCTGATTCAGAAGGATGGGTTGTTCTCAGTGACCACTAAGGCTGCCAAAATCTGTCTATCAACCTAATATTCACACCAGTTAATTCTCTATCCTA